GGACTGAAGAGAGGCTGGGACTGAGTACAGCCCACTCTGACCAAGGGCAGGGGGGGGAATCACGAAGCAGGCTGGAGAGAAATCTGCTCTTGAGCACCTAAAGGCACAGCGGTCCCCACCCAGGCTTCCCGCGCAGGGTGGTCGCCCCCTAGCCCCCCGGGTCGGGTTGGTGGTTCCCAGGCAGCTCTGGCTCCCTTGCAGCAGTGGAGCCTCCTGCCTGTAGAAATAGGTGGTGTGTTGAGGGAGCTGGGCTGGGGAGTCTTGTGGTGCTGGAGGCTGCTCAGTGAACTTTCTTTCTGCAGTTTTTGGAGCAGAAGTATGGCTATTTCCACTGTAAAGACTGCAAGACCAGATGGGAGAGTGCTTATGTGTGGTGCATTTCTGGAAGCAACAAGGTAGTTAACAAGTAATTTCTTGCTCCTGTGACTTGTAATAATGGCACCTGAACAGCCTGAGTAGGTCTGTATAGTAACTGAGAACTTGCTTTTTTTCAGGTGTACTTCAAGCAGCTTTGTCGCAAATGCCAAAAGGGCTTCAATCCCTATCGAGTGGAAGCCATCCAGTGCCAGGTAAGTTACAGATTCCTGTATATGGGTAAGACTGCCAGAGTTTGTAATACATGCTAATAGTTTCCCATAGCTGAATTTGATACTGACTTTATCTGGAAGAGAACTTGCTTTCATCCAAGTACTAGGAAATGTTATTTGGGAAAGGTGTAACGGGATAGGATTTCCTCCTTCTGCAAATGGCTTACACAAATGGTTTTCTGTTCATATGGTGTTATGCCTAGCTATGTGTAGGGTAAGGATTTGTGCTTCTAGGTGAGAAGGCTCTTGCAGCTTAACTCCCCAGGGTTTTTACCACAAGACCTATTGTATCAGCCCAAATGGGTTGCTATGATTAAGGAAAACTAAATGTCTAAAGTGAAGTGAGCACCTTTGATCTGCTACTAATAAAATATCTTGTTTCTTAAGACCTGTTCAAAGACTCGTTGTTCCTGCCCTCAGAAGAAAAGACACATTGATCTCAAGAGACCTCATCGCCAGGAACTTTGTGGCCGCTGCAAAGGCAAGAGGCTGTCCTGTGATAACACGTACAGCTTCAAATACATTGTCTGATCTGTGTGCCCTCTTCTGTTTTGCACTTTGTACTTTGTAAGTCTTTTGCAGTGTTTTGACTTAAGGCTTTTGACCTGGCATTGGATAATGGACAAAGACTTTTGTATTATTTATAAAGTACATAACTTCATTGTATATATGCTGTGAATAAAGTTCAATAAATGTTTGCATTAGTTTGTTACCCTAGTTTCATCTTGCTGGGATGAAAGAGGAAAGTATATCTGGAAGGAAATGGAAAGTATTTGACTTCCTAAAGGAAATAGGCTTGGGTTTTAAGTCTGCCTTTAGGGAATGCTGAGATGGAAAAATGCAGTAGCAAGTTTTTCCTTCAGTCACTCAAACTGAACTAGTGTGGAAGTTGTGAATAAATATTCTGGAACATAAAGTCTGGGATGAATGCACCTGGAAGTGTTTCTTACAACTGTCTCTGTCAAATATATAAAATTATAATTAAAGATGATGTAAGGGAGAAATGTAAGCTTCACAGGTTTTCCAGCTGAGGGGGGACAATGCTTTTGAGCTGGGGTATCTGGAGTGTAAAAAAATTCTCTAAGTAAGCTTAGAGTCTTGTTCTACCTTTCTATATTTTCTACTTCTGCCTCAGAAGCTTTCTGATCATGTAAGGTATGTCCAGGGTAGGTAGCTTAAATATCACTTAAGGGATTAACTGGTTGTGTTTTCATGGAGGCAAAATTCAGTCCGGTGAATCCTAACTAAAGTACTGGTGTTGCAGAAGCACTGGGGGCGTTGCTGCAGATCATGTTGTCCTAGGAATTTAGTGAGGCTTTGTTGGGAATATACTGATGTCTCCTCTACCTGAAGTTTCCAAGTAGTGGTTACATCATGAGTTTTGTTGTATCTGTGAAGAATTACAGAATACCTTAGGTTGGAAGGAACCTCTGGAGGTCAACTGAATCAAGCTGCTCAATGAATTGCACTATACCTGTAGGACAGTAACAAGTGGTGTGCAGCAGGTGCTCTGTCCTGGCACCTGTCTTGTTCAACATCTTTACCAGTGACCTGGAAGAGGCAAGAGTATGTACTTGTCAAATTTGCAGGTGACACCAAACTGGGGGGACTGGCCAAGACTGATAAGGGCTGTGCTGCCATTGGGAGTGATCTCACCTGACGAGAGGGATGGGCCAACAGGAACTCTGTG